GCCAAGTAAAGTGCAGCACCGTTATTTGTGAAATAGCGGCGTCAATACGACCCATCCCCTGCTTCCTTCCCTTCCTCTCCCTGTCATGGAAACTAAAACATCACGGAACCAAGTCTCAGTGTTTGAGACCAAAGAGAGGAATAGAATTTTGCGGCAGTGAAATCTAATTACCTCTTCGCTAACTCTTCTACCCGTGTGCTATCTAATTAGAAACCCTTGGAATCGGCTTAGTTCTTGGAGCCTAATGAGTTTATGACCTATAATGGCATCAATGGAGGTAAACTGCAATTCACTGAAATTGAATGCATGGTCGTTCAGTAGCTTACAGTTCTACTTATGAAAAGCTGAAGTTCAGCTATCAGCTTACGCTAGCGTTCCGAGGTAGAAAACACCTTTTTCAAACCTTGATGGTTTTTGCTTCTTTTGTGTCGACGAGGTTGCTGGATGCAACCTTCTGTTGATAAGCAACGTTCAAAGGCAGTTGGCACGATAATCCCCAAGACGTGTAGGAATAGTGACCCTAGAAGGACTGAATTCGTGGCCCCTGGCAGGCGCTGCATGCGCCTCTTTCTATAAGGGTGTCCTCAGGAATACCGACCCGCCCGCCCACAAATGTCCGACCGATGCTGATGTTCGTATGACTTCATTTGCGGAGTAAAACATGAGGCGAAGGGCTTGAATGAAGTGGGTGCAGTGCTGCATAGATATATGAGCACTTACATGCACACGTATCTACCGTAGCGGTTATTGGCACGATGCCAACGGGGAGAACAAAGGTTTTTTTTTGCAGAATTCTGACCGTTTCACTTCGCTTTTTCGCTATTTTCCCCACTATATAAAACTTACCACTTTAGGACCGAGTATCAAATTTTGGTGCCTTGAACTAAGTTGTCTTACCAACAGGGTACAGCATGGGGATGTGCGAAATGGCGGTGTGAGTACGACCCCCCCCCCTCGAAGAGGGTCCAGTTACGACCCCCCTCCTGCTCTAACTGACAACCAGATGCATGTTCACACAAATGGCTTCCTGAAATGGAATCTGGATTTTCGAAAGGCGGACTCTGCTCTAAAATCCAGGCAATAAAAGGCTGTTTCAGCCTCATGCAATATGAGGCTGAACAACAGCCTCGCATTGCCTACAATTTTGTCACAGGTATTATGACAAAAATATATGTATGAAAAATCCAACGTGTAGCAAGGAACACAATCGAAACAGCGACTAATGGTGATCATTAATGAGTGAACTGGTGAAAAAATCAGTTCCAAGGTCAATGTGTCGGGCCCCAGATGTGCATCTGCTGACGGGGAAATCATGAAAACATGCACGACACAACAAAGCGAAACATGAACAACACAAAAAAATGCGGAATCAAATGAAAAAAATGGACCAGGCGGCAGTATATCGTTCTATACTCGGCTATTATCGATCGCAACGTTGCGACCGCTTTCATTGGAAAAACGTCATTGGAGCGCGGTTGTTGGACCTGCCAGCGTCCTGGGGTCTTTTCAGGAGGTTATATCTCTTTTAGGTGCGGGGCTTTTGAGGAATGGTTAGCAGCATGCAATGGAAAAGTTACTACTGTTGCGTTTTCTACCTAGTTGCAATCTGAATGTTTCCCCGTTCGTGAAATATTTCGGATGGGTTTCGGATCGGCTAGGGGTAAATGGCAAGCGGGTTTTTATGCTTCACACAAGGATTACTTATTTCGAACGCAATTTCATCAGGATTAAAATCGTCTTGAAACCGCCCTATCTTTTCTCTTTCCAATAAGCTTTACAGTTTTCCTGAAGACCCGCTAGTTCAGGAGATATTTTAGATGGGTCACAGACGCGCTACCCTCTGACCCACCCGAAAAATCGACTCCTCCTGTGCCATTGTGAGGATACACCTTCGGAAACTTTGACTCCAAAACACATATTTCCCTTCAAATGAGTGAAAGAGGAGCTCGGCTATCACTGATCGATTTGGTCCGAGTGTGCGCCGTGCATTACGCTCCTACGCAGAAGGTGGAAAGGTGTAAATTCTGATTTCAAGTGCTTTTGTCCATGCACGAATCTGTTTGAAACGTATTATGTAGTCATCTACGTACTTACGAGTTCATGCTATTAATTGATATTTATTTATTTATTTATTCTTGCTATTCTTGCTATATTGCTAATCAATTTTTTATTATTTTGTAGTCCTCCTTACATCCGGGTCTTCTGCAGCTTTCCGTCCGTTCCATCAAACTTAGCAATGACACTTTTGTACTGTTTGATGCTTAGCGAGCCTACTTTTGCGATACTCCCACGTCCCCCGCGGCCAAGTACGAATCCCCTTTCTGGGGATTTCGCATGAAAAGAGGGCTGTTAAACGTAGCAGTTAAATCTGTAAAGAATACACTCATAATAATTTTCATTTTTTAACATCTTGACTTCCATAGCTCCACTCCCACTATCAACTGAAATGTCAAAGCATTGCCCGGCGCTGAGTGACCCTTGAGATTACACCCCCCCCCCTCCCCAGCGGCAAGATAGTTTTGAGTTCATCGTCTCAAGAGGAGAACAATGATGTGCAACTCATTGCAAATGGCCGAGCTGATCTGTTGAACTTTCCTTGTTAGGCAACGGGAGAAAGTAATGTGTGGTAAAAAAAGGATTAGCGGACCAAATAGCGGAGGAGTACAGAAAAAGGGCGAACCGTACACGTATTGGACTTCTCACGAAATTCGGTGGCTGGCGTTAAACGTGCATGGGTGGGTTGAGACCGGCGCACAGTGGACAGAGCGCTCTCTCGAGTACGCAGTACATAATTTGCTTTTTCTACTGGCCTCGCTGAAAATTCAACTATTACTATATTTGCTATTTATATAGGTCACGAGCCTGAATGATGTTCAAGGTAATGTTTCTCTTTCCTCTCATGTTTTCCTGCATCATACAGATAAAATTATGGTAGCTCTGAACTGCATTCTATTCAGGCGGCACGGTATCCCTACCTCACTACCACCTTTTTTTTCTTTTATTCTTTATCTGATACTCGATTTAGTGAGTTCACATACGAGAGAACCGTGCCCGAGTCGTCTGAAGATGAAGGCAAAGAACCTAACTTGACAAATCGAGCGTTGAAGAAGACCGTATTGAAAGGCAAGTTTAGCTCCTATACTAGAAATCGTTTATTCATTGTCACGTCATTGTGCGCCATTTGGAAGAGTTTCTGTTCCACTTTAGTGCATATCGAAAGCAACAATTTAATTTGACGATTCAGTGAAAGATGCTTTTCCCTCTACTCGAAGACGGCTTCCGGTAATGTCGGCTGTCAGTAATGTAATATCACCTCTGGACTTTGCTTGTCAAAAGTTGGAGTCCAAAGCAAATCAGATAAATGCAGTGTTGGATGATGTCAACGAAACCCGTCCTCTTGATGTCAAAGGGCTTCAACTACTTCTTCAGGGGACGGTGATGCCCACTGTGGGTGATTCTGCTTTCAGTGTACTTTGCGTTGGGAAGTTTTTTTATTCCTGTCTCTCAATGTGTGCTATTTGTGGTCTTGCAGGTTAACGCAGGCCCACTGGCTTATGCGGAAGCGTTCACGCAGTCCGAACAAAAGGAGCGATATGGAGAAAGTGGAGTGCGCGATCTGGAGAGTGCATTCAGGTACTCAAACTCACCGCATTTGGTGGGATATAAACAAGAATTCGTAGTTGTTGTGAGTGAAGAAAGAAGTGCTCCACTACGTCGAAAACCAGCTGATATCCCCCCTTTTGTTCTGTACTCCACTTTTTTCCGGTGTCTGAAGTACTCTTGAGCTATTTTACAGATTCTTCGTCTGACTCCGCCCACCTCGGAGCAGGCCCCGCCCACAATGTTTGTGCCCCACAATCCTCACCGGCGACCCTCTGCTGACCTTAATCCACTTTTTTCCGGTCTTTGAAGTGCTCTGGGACAGTTTCAGAGAATTTTCGTCTGGCTCCGCCCACCTCGGGCTGGCCCCGCCCACAACATGTGGTTACCAAGCATTTTCTGCAATTACGACCACTGCTGACTGAAATCAGATTTTGTATCATCGCGCGGCTTCGGATGGTTGCTCTTTGGAACCGTATTTACAGAACCTTTTTTGTTGCGCCTCCGCCCACATTCGGAGCGGGTCTCCGCGCGCACATCGAATGTTTTTGCCCAACAATCGATCATCGAAGCGACCCTCTGAATGACTTTCGATCCCTGTATTCTTTTCCGGGTCATTTGAAAGTATATCTTGGGAGCTCGTTTTACAGATCTTTCTTTTGATGACCTCGCCCACCTCGGCAGCAGGCTCCGGCCCACAAAATGTTTTTGCGCCAGCAATCGTACCAGACGACCCATCTGCTGAACTTAAGTCATTTTTGTGTTTCCGACGTTATTGGGGGCAGTGTTTTGGAATCTGAGCTAGACAAAACAGTATAGTAAGAATGAATACCCCTGCAATTTAAGGGCAAGCCCCGACCCGACTGTGGCGGTTCAACACGCTTTGATGTGCCCTATTCGCCGGCATAGTTTTTAAATATTTAAGCTGATGATTTTTTGCGAAGTTTCCAGACTAATCTGCGACCGGGTTACTCACATTTATTGCGGGAAGCATCCGCCCAGCATTGAAGTACGCCCCGCCCTTTATGGAATTGTATGTATGCACACAGTATAGATCTGGCGACTCAATTATTAACTTATTCCCTATTGTTCCCCATATGTGAGGCTGCCAGGTAAGTGCAGAATTATGAACATCACAAAAAACTATTGTTTCGTGCTGGAAACCCCAAACTTTCGGGGGACGTGCCCGGTAACTTTACTTTCGGGACGGTCCAAGTGTGCTTATTTATTTCATTGTCGCAACGCAGAGACCTCTTACCCAATACACTTTACACGCGGACCTACATCCAAGTAGCGATTCATGCAAGGGTCGAACCAATTTTCCGACAATATAGAGCAAAGCTTGACAAACTTACAATAAACTCACATAACAAACCAGACCCAAAAGGAAATTTGATAAATACATATGGGTGATATCTAAATGATATATATATATATATATATATATATAATATATATATATATATATATATATATATATATATATATATATATATATATATATATATATATATATATATATATATATATATATATATATATATATATATATATATATATATATATATATATATATATATATATATATATTGTTCACTTTAAATTCACCCTTTTTCGAACCAAATTCACCACTTTTCAAACCAAATCCTTCTTCTTCTTCTTCTTCTTCCTCAGCGTTTGTCCCGCTCGATGACGGGGTCCGCTTTTTTGATAACTACGCCACTTTTTCCGATTGAATGCCGGCTATTTTCAAGTCGGTATGCAGCGTGTCGAGCCAGCGCTGTTTGGGACGCCCTTTGGCCGCTTTCCTGGTACCTCGAGTTCGAGAGCAGTTTTACGGACGGTGTCAGCCTTCGCGCGAAGTACGTGCCCGTACCATCGAAGGCGCGTTTCACGCAATTTCTCTGCTATGGGGGCTACACCATACTTCTTGCGCACGACATCGTTACAAATGCGGTCCGATCGCGTGACGCCCGCCGTCCAGCGCAACATCTTCATCTCCATCACACCAAGGCGAGCCTCAACTTCTTTGGTCGCGGGCCAGCACTCGGCACCAAATAACTAGATCTTACTTGAACCGCTCTGGCATTTTCTTGTCGCGAAGGATCCCAGACATGGATCGCCACTTAGACCACGCCGCACTCACTCGTGCGCTCACTTCCGAGTTCAGACTGCCGTCGGACGCAAGTGCTGATCCGAGATACTTGAATGTTTCCGTGCGCTTGAGCACCGTGTCATCGATCTTAATGGAGCCCGGCTCATTTGGGTCGGTTGTCAGGTACTCGGTTTTGTTGACGTTCAACCTGAGTCCAAACTTCGCCAGACGCTCGGCCCAAGCTTGCACCTGCTGTTCCAGTGCGCTCTTATCTTCAGCACGTCATCAGCGTAAAGCAGGGTCCATGGCACTTCCTTCTGAAGATCTCGTGAGATGGCATCCATGACGGCAACGAAAAGAAGTGGGGAGAGCGCAGAGCCTTGATGTACCCCGACGGTGATGGGGAACTCCAAGACACCCGCTGGTGAGCGAACTTGGCTCCCTGGGCATGAGTAAAGGATGCGCACCCACTCAATTAGCTCTTCGGGCACGCCGTGCCGCCTCAAAGCGTACCATATAACATCACGTGGCACACGATCGCCTTCTCCAGGTCTAAGAAAGCTACATGCACGGGCTTTCGCTTCTCACGGTGTTTCTCCAGCAATAGGCGAGCGGCATGTATGGCGTCGACGGTGCTACAACCCGCCACGAAGCCACACTGATTGGTGGAAAGCTGGACGATATCACGAACACGGGCGTCAACAATTCGCTCGAAGATTTTCATAGTGTGCGAGAGAAGGCGAATTGGACGGTAGTTCGAGCATTCTGCCGGGCTGCCCTTCTTCTTCCAAATCGGGATCGTCACGCTCTGCTGCCAGTCCTTGGGCACCTTCTTCTCTTCGACGATCTGGTTGAAGAGTTTCGTCAACCAACCCGCAGAAAACCAGCGTTGTGACTTCCCAAATCAGCTGCGATGTCGTCGGGGCCTGTTACTTTGCCGGCTTTCATCTTCCTCAAAGCAGCTTCTGTTTCCTAGCTTCGGTCGTCGAAACGAACTACGCTCATAATCGAATCGCGAAATCGCTGAGACACGATCACGGCCACACCACTTGTAGTTTTCGGCCCGCCACAAAGAACGGCTTTGAAGCCGCGGCCTAACTCTTTCGACTTGCAGCCAGCCCATCTCGTCTCTTGCACGGCACAGAGGTCGATCTTTCTACGCTCTAGGGCTTCTGCTAACTCATACGAGCGTCCAGTCAGCGTCCCCACGTTCAGCGTCGCAATACGAGCCTTTGACACACTGCACGTCTTTTGGACTAGCCTGGTTGCCCCCGATGCCGTCCTTGCAACGAGGACCCTCGCATATTTTTCACACTCGTCGGGCCTTGCGAGTGCGCGTCGGCTCCCGCGGACGCCGTAGCATTATCTCGAAATTCATAAGGCATAGTTAAACATAATGATGTGACATGGGGTGTTCGTAAGCCGGCCCGTCACGAAGGCCTGTCGCCTGCTTTCGAGTTCGTCCGCGTTCTGCTCAGCCCGCAAAAGCGAGTAGGTCCCACCCCACTTACTAGGGCGGGCAACTCATCAACCAGATCACGCCAGACACCACTGCAAGCCCCGCCCCGACGGCCACGCCTACTTGTCAGCGCGGACATAGATTTTCAACACATGACTGACTCCGCCCATTCTTTAAAGTTTGTTGCGAACTTCAAATCTTCAAATCTTCATAACTTTTTCAATTTTTAATTTCACATCCACTCTTCGCACAACGAAGGTACTCGTAGACGCGCATTCATGCACCGGCAATTTAGGCTCCGCCCCTTTGGCCACGCCCACTTGCTTTTTGCGGAATTTGATATTTTTTCAAAATTTTTGCATTTTTGGACTGCTCCATGAAGCCCCGCCCACTGTGAGAGGCTCCGCCCACTTTGAAGAAGCCCCGCCCACTTTTCAAAATGGTGCAATCGGCAGTATAGAGCCATGGCTTGCATGGCAAGGGTATTGCTGGTCATTAGGAACAAACTTTGCCTGATTTATTTGTTCCGAGTGACGGACGAGACCCTAGCATGCAAGCCAAGGCTCTATACTGCCGATTTGCACCATTTTTGAAAAGTGGGCGGGGCTTCTCCGAAGTGGGCGGGCTTCACGGGGCAGTCCAAAAATGCAAAAATTTTGAAAAAATATCATAATTCCGCAAACAGCAAGTGGGCGTGGCCAAAGGGGCGGAGCCTAAATTGCCGGTGCATGAATGCGCGTCTACGAGTACCTTCGTTGTGCGAAGAGTGGATGTGAAATTAAAAATTGAAAAAGTTATGAAGATTTGAAGTTCGCAACAAACTTTAAAGAATGGGCGGAGTCAGTCATGTGTTGAAAATCTATGTCCGCGCTGACAAGTAGGCGTGACCGTCGGGGCAGGGTTCGCGGTGGTGTCTGGCGTGATTTGGTTGGTGAACTGCCTGGTCTAAGAAGGTGAATTTGGTTTGAAAAGTGGTGAATTTGCTTTGAAAAGTGGTGAATTCAAAGTGAAAATGGTATACAGGGGGGGGGGCAAAAAAGTCACTTCGACCGAGTCACATATCAGCAAAGTTTTCGCTGCCCAGACAGAGGACGTGGATACGAGTACCAGGGCGGAAGATACCCAAGATGTTCCTCTATAAGCAGGAGCTGGCTCTCGCCCATCACCTTCATGTACACCAAAATATGAAGTCATCTCCAGTCGCAGCCTGACTGGAGAAGACCTTTGGAATTCATGTCACCTCCAAACAGCTGCGAAACTTCTAGTATGGAGTCACCCATGGATAGCTACCTGGAGACCAGTACTCTCGATCTGGAATGACCTCCAACATCGAGCAGCTTCGTCAACGTCGCTACGGTCTAGGACATCATCTTCACCGTAGTCGCCGAGGCGCGAGTTGATGGTATGGACCGGGGTACCTGGAATGGGAAGACCGATATTTTCTTTGTAGACCCCGACTGAAGGTGAGCGCTGGCGG